CGCCTCCGCGCGCGGGACTGCCCTGGGGATCGGTTCGCTGAGTCCGGGCCTCGCGTGCGGAGGACGCGGTCCCCGAACGTCACTCGGGCTGCCACCCAGTCTCCCGTGTTCAGGACCCGGAGGACCGGTGCTTTCTTCCCGGCCGCTCACCTGGCCTCAGTTACGCCAAAACCGGTTTCTTGGTCGTAGGCGACCCGGAGAGGTGGGTTCCTAGAGGGAGTAAGAACCCGGGCTTCCCACTGACGGCAGGATTGCTCGAGGTTAAAACTAAGGGCTGGCCCTGACCTGTTTGGCTCAGTGGATAGAGCGTCGGCCTGGGGACTGAAGGGTCCCGGGTTCCATTCCCATCAAGGGCATGTACCTTGGTTGCGAGCACATCCCCAGTAGGGGGTGTGCAGAGGCAGCTGATGGATGTTTCTCTCTCATCAATGTTTCTAACTCTCTATCCCTCACCCTTCCTCTCTGTAAAAAATCAACCCTATATAATAAAACCGTAATATGCAAATCAACCGAACAGCAGAATGGTGGGTCGCTATGACTCGCACTGACCACCAGGGGGCAGACACTCAAAGCAGGAGCTGCCCCCTGGTGGTCAGTGTGCTCCCACAGGGGGAGTGCTGCTCAGCCAGAAGCCAGGCTCACCTGGAGAGTGCAGCAGCGGTGGTGGGAGCCTCTCCCGCCTCCACTGCAGGTGGGTGGTAAGGAGCAAGGGGTCCCCAACTGCAAGAGCCCCGGGCTGCAAGAGGGATGTCTGACTGCCGGGTTAAGGCAGACATCCCCTGAGGGGTCCCGGACTGCGAGAGGATTCAGGCCAGGCTGAGGGACCCACCCCTCCAGTGCACGACTTTCGTGCACTGAGCCTCTAATAAGTAAAAAAACAAAAACAAAAATCCCTAAGTGCTGTAGGGAGCAGTCAGTTTGGGGGCCCAGGGAAGGGGTGATTAGGAAATAATCTTAAATTAGTAAAATGCCAGTCTAAAAAGAAGGGGAAAGCTATTCCAAGCTAAGAAACAGTATATGCAATGAGCAACCCCAGAAGAAATGAAATTCAAGAAAGAGAGCAACAACAAAAACAACCAAGGAATAAATACTAGGCAGAAGAGGGCAAAGATAGTCCTGGATTTGGGACAAATCCAGGCTTTTACTGATAATGAATGGTACTTAACAATTCTTACTTTGTGTTATTATTATACTAGAGGCCTGATGCACCAAATTCGTGCAAGGGCCTTGGCCCCCGGACCCCGCCCCCCGCCTGCCGCTGCTGCTACAGTCCCACCTGCTGGGGCTTTGTGGGTAATTAGCATATTACGCTTTTATTATTATAGATGGCTGTCTCATTCCGTACTACCAACCCTTGTCACTCAACACATGTTACACAGACCACCTAAGGGATTGTTCCAAATGCAAAATCTGGGCTCCATCCTATAGAATTGAAATCTTCGTTTTAACAAGATCCCCAGGGGAGAGTGTGTGCACATTGATGTGTAAGAAGCACTACTTTGACAATTGGCAAAGAGCAAATCTTGATTTGATTCCTCTTCATATTCTGTACGCAGCCTTGTACAGGGTATGCTTTAATAACATTTGCAAACTGAAGGATAATTACTACATTTCTCACAAGATAATGCCATTAGGCTTAAACACAGCCAGTGATGGGGACCCTGAAGTCACGCAAGGCCACGCTTTCTGAATGAGCTGCTCTATTTATTAAAAAGTTCATTTTTATAATTTAAGTTGAAAACCCACCACTTAAGTCCAACAAATCCACTGCTCCTTCTTTTATCTGTGTTCTGCATCTAATAAACTCAGTTTTCTGGCTCTTACCCAAAGACAGCATCAAAAAGGCACATTTTTACTGCAACCTTTTGCTTACCCCTCCAAAATCTTGACTGTCTGCTTGCATCCTATTTGGTTACCCCCACCACCCAACCCCCCACCCCGCCTTCCTTTCTTCCTTTCCATAGGACTCTGAAACAGTGAGGATGAGTGCAGAGTCCTTTGTCTTGAGGCTTTTCTTTCTTGCAGGTGGGGATCTTAGGGAAGGTCTCAGGGGAGAGTTTCTGCAGATTATTCATCAGTTTTCCAGGCGTGCTTTTTCAGGGTTGTGGGCTCCACCGATTGGTCATTGTCAGGGTAGGGGGTCTTTAGTCATTGCAGCTGGTCCTGGTGTTGACTACCTGTTTTGCTGTTTTTCTTGAGCTGGAGCTAAATACAGCTGAGGCCTGGATGTTATCTCTAGGGAAGTGACCTTCGGTATCTGCTGTAAATTTCTCTGCCAGTTTGTTCAGCTGTCTCTCTCAGTCTCCCTATTCCATTTGCCCTAGCTTCCTGGCCAGTCTGTCTTGCTCCCAAAAACCCACAATCCCAGCTGACTCGTGAGGAAAATATCAGAGAATTACAAATTAAGGAATATTCAACAAAATACTTAACCGGTTCTGCTCAAAACTGTAAACACCATAAAAAAAAAACTGGGAAGTCTGAGAAACTGGCACAGTCTGAAGGAGGCTAATGATGAGGAGTAATGTGGTATCCTGAGTGAGATCCTGTGACAGAAAAAGACATTAGATAGAAACTAAATTAGTTCTTTTAAAAAGTGTCAAGGCCCTGAAGTACAACCAAAGACTTCCCAAAGATTAGAGGGGATTAAGGGTGCATAATAACTAAATGTAGGATGGGATCCTGGAGTTGATCCTGGAACAGGAAAAGGAAATTAGTGGGAAAAGCAGTGAAATTTGAACAAGGTTTATGGTTTAGTTAATAGTACTAGAGGCCCGGTGCACGAAATTCGTGCACAGGTGCAGTCCCTAGGCCTGGCCGTCGATCAAAACGTGAGTGTCTGGCATGGAAGGGTGGGTCCCAGCTGACCTCAGTCCTGGGCAGCACCCGTGCCCCCGCTTGCACCCGCCTTGGCCTGGCACTGCCCACTTACCTGCTCCACCATCCTGCCGCGGTCCTGCTCTCGTTGGGGCCCATCGGGGCCAGCAGCACCTCCGCTGCCGCCCGCTGCCAGCGCTGTGTCATCGACGCCCGCCATGTTCCATGCCACCCCCTGGTGTTCAGCACACATCATAGCGAGCAGTCAAACGACCGCCCAAGGGGACAATTTGCATATTAGGCTTTTATTATATAGAATTGTATTATATTGAGAGGAATGGTGGTGTGAAAGATTCCCTTGGTCTCTCACCTATAACTTACAGTAATATGTACAGCCATATCTCAATAAAGGATTCCCTGCTCAACATACAAATGTGCCTGAGAGAGCCACATGATCCACACATTGAAACATCTAAAGGTGGGCAAGTGGATCAAAAGGGGGAAGCGAAAAGGGAGTGGGGCTGACACTGTTGCTAGTGAAAGTGATAGATTCTTTCGCAGTGATGTGAGAAAAGAATTTCAAAGCCACATGTATAGAGAAGTTTAAATGTGAGGGCAAGAATTTCTTGTAAACTAGAAGCTCAGTGCATGAAATTCATGCACAGGTAGGGTCCCTAGGCCTGGCCAGCAATCAGGGCCAATTTGTGGGGCAACCAGTGGGGCGACTGGGCGTCCCCCGCTGGCACCCGCCTTGGCTGGCCTGGGGCCTGCGGGCTGGGGGCAGCTTCTGCGTTGAACATCTGGTGGTCAGTGCACATCATAGCACTGTTGTCCCGCTGTTTGCTCGATTTGCATATTAGGCTTTTATTATATAGGATTAAGAGGAATTAATACACCTTAGGGGACATAGAGGGTGGGCTCTAAAGCACTGCCACAAGGCTCCTATTAGTCCTCCATATATCTTCTAGGTTTAGGTAAAGAACAAAGAACCAAACTATCCAACCCAAATTCCTAACTTTTCCCAGGCCTGGATTGGGCACTCTTCCCAGTAAATTTTATTGGGGTTTCATGTCCTCTATCCACTCTATCCAATCTGATCACCTTTTTGATTGTTCCCAGGCTAGCTTTTCGTATCCTGTTCTGAGGATTAAGTCTCCTGCTGAGGAGTGGGGGGAAAGTTGCGGGGGGCGGTTCTCTGGAGTGTGTGAATGAGTGTTTACCAGTAAACTAGATGGAATTCTGCTCTGTTACCTGCTTCTGCTTCCCAGTTTATTAAGATTTTTTTAGTTCCCCTTTGCATTTCTCCTTATATTAATAACTAGCTATTTCCTCATAGCAATAACTAGCTACCTACACTGACAATACGAGCCAGAAACACAGCCCAGTAGCCAGGAGCTCATCCAGGGAGGGAGGAATCTGGTTGTCACCGACACACCATTCATCTGGGAGGAGCAGAGACTACATGGACACTCCTGCAGGAATGAGCAGCAATCGCTGCAGCTGAG